TCTTGGGAGTCTGAAAAGTAATGATACATGTACACTGTTTAGTAAAATGCCTGGCACAGTGCCTGGATCAACAAATAGTAATGACTGTAGCATTAACTTGACAGAGAAATAAAGATTGGGTCATTCTGTGGTCAACTGTGACCCACACGCCAGCAGCCATCCATTTGTTATTCCTGTGAAATTCTCAGCTTGCTTGATGGTATATTTATGGCATATTTCAGCCTGTTTAGCTATTAATACATTAAAATAGGTTTCATTTTTACTGCAGACAAATTGCTGATGCTATAAATCCTCTTCTTTCCCCTTCCATTAGAGGGAAAAGAAGGGGTAAAACATGCCAAGAGAAATGGGGGCTAATGACAAATGTCTGGGGGACCAAGCTGTCAAGGCTCAGAGAAGTTTCCACAACATCCCCTAAACTTTTTGCCTGTCTTCAAAAGAGACAGCTTGAGCTGTTTGGTGGCAGTTGTTTGAAGGGTGCTGTAAAGTGCCGCCATTAACATTCATGTTCCTGCATTTGAATTGAACACTGATCAGTCCATACTGCAATGACACGACAGCAGCGCAGGCATCTGTGATTACTAGAAAGAACACACATTACTATGCTGTGTGCTTTGTAATTACTTTTCCCTGCAGACTTCTCTGCTGGCCAGACAGAGGACTGCGGCTGCAGGACGAGGCTGTCACAGTTCCCGTGGCTCCATGCTGGGAGAGCATCTTAAACAAATTCACGGACCTAGGTATATTGCATTTCTAGTGAAATGTCTTTTTCTCTGGTTAGGTGATAGTTTTAAGTGGCAGGCAAGGCCAAGGCCCAGTAGACAAACTATTAACCATCGAAGGAAACCCAAGAAGGTTCTCCCACCTCTGACCGCATGACCCCAGGTGACTCATGTAGGTCTCCAGAGCCTCTTTCCTTAGCTGGCCTTCCTCCTACAGGGCGCACAGCTCTATGGCTTTGCCCTGTGTTCCAGAGAGACTCCTTATGATAAATTCTGAATGTCAAAAACAGTGAGGGGGCGCAAGAACCAGGATGGTGGCCTCCGGGGACAGAGGGAGGTTGGTGGCAAAGCTCCTTGTATATCTCCCTAACTTCTTCTGCCTAGCTCGGACGATCGTAACAGTGGAGGAGTCAGTAATGATTAAAAAAAAAAAAAAAAGGCAGCCTGTGGTTTGTAGAGTTTGAGGAAATGAGAGGATGCTTCATGCACATACCCTGGGTCAGGAGCCTGCCTGCATGACTCCCCCTCTCTGGAGTGGGGTAAGTGGGGCTGGACAGCACTCTGCACGCCCACCCCAGGGGGCAGTTCCTAGCATGCAGGCTTCTGGCCTGGGAACAGAATTGGGCTCTAATTGGCCTGCACCTTAATTGGAGGAGGAAAGTAAGCAGGGATTACCATTCTGTTCCTGCTCTCAGATGAGGCCTGAGGAGCTGGGAGGTGTGGGAGGAAGGAGAGACTACAAATTAACCCCCTAAATAATGCAAGATGAGAGCCTGGCCCCGACATGGACCAGCAGAAGCTTGTTTTCTCTTCTCATTGCAAATAGGAGGCATCATAAGACACACTTACTCTGTGAGCAAGCCCCTCTCCCTTTCCCTTCCCCTTTCCCTCCACCCTCACCTACGCCTTTTAGTTAGGTCTGTTCATGACCACTAACCCTGTAACTGAAGCCAAGCAGAAAGGTAAAGCATCTCTCCAATGATGCATTTAAAACAAAAGCTAGTTTCTGGGCTAGTTCATCAGCAAGAGCTTTCTATGTCACAAGCGTTTCTAGGAAATCAACTGCCACCTCCTCCTTTCAAGACTCTGACTTTACCTAGTTGAATGTTTCTCGAACTTCTTCGGGATCAGACTTTCCCAGAAGGCTGGCTATACTTACAGATTCCCATCCTCCTCCCCACCTCTCTGAGCCAGCAGGTTTGGGGCTTGAAGGCCAGCAACAAGTATTCACAGATACCTAGGAGACCGCTGCAGGTGGCCTGCTATCACCCTTGGAGAACATCATTTAGATACTGCATCATAAACACAAACCCTAACTGTGCACTTGGCTGAGAACTCAGCTGTACAACGTCCCACTGAGCCCTGATACCCTGCAAGCAGGCCTGGCCTCTGAAGGCAGCATGCCGTGGAATCTGGCCAACAGGCAGAGAGGACGAAGTTCCAACCTTGATATCGCCAATTATTAGCTTCAAAGTGCCTCTCTTACCCTCAGTCTCCACTGTCTAACATGAATAACGTGCAAGTCCCTGAACCTCAGTTACCTCACCTGTAAAATGGGAGTGTTTTTATCTATCTCATCTGGTTGCTGGGATCAGATATGAAAACAAAAGGCATTTACAATGACCAATAATTGGTGCATATGTGCGTGCTAAGCCACTTCAGTCGTGTCTGACATTTTGCAACCCTATGGACTGTAGCCCACCAGGCTCCTCTGTCCTTGGGATTCTCCAGGCATGAATACTGGAGTGGGTTGCCATGCCCTCCTCCAGGAAATCTTCCTGACCCAGGGATCAAACCCACATCTCTTATGTCTTCTGCATTGGCAGGCAGATTCTTGACCACTAGTGCCACTGGCAAACCCCAGTAAATGGCAGCTCTCATTTCTTTTCCCTTATTTTCATCCCAACAGATCCTTGTCTTCCCTTAGCTGTCAGAGTTGTAAAAATCATCAAAGTCAAAGAAACCAACCTCTAATTAGATGTGAGTAGTTTATCAATTATGAGGATTTAATCCAGGTGCGTTAGTTTCCTACTGCTGCTGAAATGAGTTACCACAAATTTAGTGGGTTTAAAAAAACACAAATTTTACTCTTAGAGAGCCAGAGGTCAGAAGTCCTCCAGAACTGTAAATGAAGGTGTCAGCAGAGCTGTGTTCCTTCCGGCATTTCCAGAAGAGAATCAGCCTGTAAAGGTCGCCCGCCTGCTTTAACCTGCGGCCGCGCCACTCCCACCTCTGCTTCTGCTGACACACCTTCTCTGGCTCTCCCTCTCCTGCCCTCATCTCTCCCTTGTAAGGATCCATGAGATTACATTAGGCTCACCTGGACCCTCCAGGCTACTCATCCTGTCCTCTAAGATCCTTAATCACACCTGCATTGTCCCTCCTACCAGGTGAAGTGATATATTCACAGGGTCCAGGAGTTAGAATGTGGGCATCTCACGTGGACATTATTCTATCTACTACACTGGGTTTTGATGTTTTACTAAGAGGACCTGCAGACCTAGTGCCTGAGTTCCCTCTTCCAAAGAGATCACTGGTGTAGTTCAGATACTGTGGAAGGGAGATGGGATAGCCTAGATGGAGTTTTCAGTTTTCCACAAATCAGACTTTGCTTTCTGACCATAGTCGGTACAGAAGTACTGTGCAAAAGTGTTGGAAATCCATGATCAACAAGGATCTCAATGTTTTGTGAATTGCATCAAGTTCTGTGAGTCATCACAGGAAGACTTGATTAGGTTCCATCTTGTAGTGTTCCAGGTATTTGAAAATTGGCAGTCCATGTACTACATTCAGTTATTGTTGATTCAGTTCCAAAAGATCTACTGAAGACCTGCTGCACAGAAGCCTTCCTTCCCTAATAAGATTATTTGATTAATTAAGACCTTCTGTTTCCCCACCCAAGGGTAGGGACACCCAGAAGTTGTCACACTGATTTGACTTTGGTTGTTGTTTAGTTGCTCAGTCGTGTCCAACTCTTTGTGACCCCATGGACAGTAGCCCTCCAAGCTCCTCTGTCCACAGGATTTCCCAGGCAGAATACTGGAATGAATGGGTTGCTGTTTCCTTCTTCTCCAGGGGATCTTCCCGACCCAGGGATCAAACCCATGTCTCCTGACTTGCAGACAGATTTTTTACCGCTGAGCCACCTGGGAACTCCCATTGTAGAAAATTACTGGCGATTAATCACAGAATCAAGGAAAATAAGCAGGAANAGTTTTCTGAATGTTAAACTTTAAGCCAACATTTTCACTCTCCTCTTTCACTTTCATCAAGAGTCTTTTTAGTTCCTCTTCACTCTCTGCCCTATGACTTTAGGACCATCTAAATAGCTGTCTCAAGCCTGCCACTGCTTTTCATCCTCCACCCCAACCCAGTCAGTGTAGCTATTCCCTTCTTTGAGGGTTCTACTGATCACTCACTATGTATTAGACGCTGGCCATGACTTTGAGATACTGGTCTTCTGCTGAAGGAAAGAAACTCATAAACCCTGTTGAAACATCATAAGAGAAATGGTATAGCAGAGGAATGTCGTGCCAAGGGGCTCTTTCTTGGGAAGGAGTGAAAGGCAGTTCAGAGGAACTGGCTTTTAAGCTGCAAGAATACAAGTTTTCCAGATGAAGCAGGGCAGAAAAGGCATTCCGGGAAATGAAGAAACGTATGTATGATAGAACACCCAGTATTTGAAGCCAGCTGAGTAGTTCACTGTGGCTGGGAAGAGATAGGAGACCCAGCAGTTAAGAAGGTTAGTGTCACATTCAAAGGGCCTTGAAAAACTAGCTAAAGGAAACAACAGGAAGTGGGACAAAATTGTTTAACAGGGGAGTGACATGATCAGATTCTACTTTTCAGTAAGTTAGCAGCAACCTGTGTGAAGAATTACTTGGGACAGAGTGAAAGGGAACTATGGCAGAAAGGTCAGTTAGCATTTAAGTGATGAGGGTCTTTATGGACCAGAGATGAAGGGAATGAAGCTAAGGGGCTGGATACAGCAGGTAGATCAGTAGCCAGTTTGATGCGTGTTGTAAAGGAGAAGAATGAGACAACGTGGACCACAGTTTCTTTATGAAATCATGGTCAGCAGTGCTGAACAAATAAGAAATGTAGGAAGAGAATTTTGTGGAGGAAAATATGAAATGTATTTTGGTATATGGTGAACTTGATAATTTGAGGTACATTTGAGATATCAAGATGGAAAGATTCATAGGTAGTATATATGTGTGTGTGTGTGTGTGTGTGTGTGTGTGTGTGTATAAAGAGAGAGCACTCAGAAAAGAAAAGATAGAGGAAGGTGATGTCACTGATATTAAAATCTGTGAGTGCCGCTGACACCATGAACAGAGGCTGAGCAGAAGAAGAGGAGACAGCCGGTCCAGGAAGACCCCTGAACAAGCAAGCGCTCTTCTGTCATCTCCTCTCTAGCACCTTTCACATCTTATGTGGCCAGTCTTTCCCTTCGCCCATTCAGAATGGTTTAGTTTGCTGCTTGCTCTTTATTTCCATTTCCTAAGAAACACACCTGGATGATAGGAGAAATTTTTTTCTTTCTGAGCAAAACTTCCAATTCTTTTCCCTTAAAATATTTGAGGCATTTTAACTTAAACCAGGTAGACGTTTTCCTGGGAGCTACATCCATAAAATAAAGGCATGATCAGTGTAGTCAAAGACCTCCAAAGAGGCTCCGCGATTATTTTTGAGTGACTGTGAAGATGAAGTGCAGGGAGATGTGGCTGGAGGAGTGAAAACTGGACTGAGAGAAGGAGGAGGGATGTGGCTTGGAGAGAGCTCACGACCTTGAGAAGAGGAAAGGAAGAGGATTCCTTAGGGCACTGTTTTCCCAAATTGCAATCACTGTTTATCACCTCCAGGGTTTTTGTGAAACTCCCCACACCACTTGCACAATTATGTACTTAATTTTTTCTTCTTAAATCAATTCACTTTTTAGACTAAAAACATGTATACAAAACAGGCAATATATCTTTTGAAAATGGAGACCTGCATAACAGTGAATATATAGGAGGGTTAGTTTTGAAAGTTAAAAGCTTCCATAAAGAATTAGAAATGATTACATTCTGGTTGGGAACTGTTGCTTGCCCATAGCTATGAAATTGAAACATGCTCACTGTTAGCAAAGAACTGTGATAAGTAAGTGTTAGAAAGGTTTTGAAGACATTCTAGCACCAAACTCAGATTTTTCCCTGTAGGTAAATCAGAAGAATTGAAATCAATTTGAAAAGAGAACAACCTTCTCACTAAGTAATTCCATGCTATTTAATTTTGAGTACCACAGGAGGCATTCAGAAACCTTCTCAGTAAGTTGTCCTAGGAGTAATGCTAAGGAGGGATGAGGAGAGTGTTTGGGGACTAAAACAGCCTGGAGCCAGCTTGAGTCATAGAGCCAATTCCTACCCCCTTCCCTTGGGTCCCACAGCAGTCAGGGCTCCAAGGAGTTTATCCTTCCTGGTGTATGAAGGTCCTGAGAGTCACACCTGAGATCTCTGGGCATCCGTCTTAGTGCTGTTCTCCTTGGGAAGGGAGGATCTATCACAGTGAACCTGAGAAAGAAGAAAGCCAATGAGGCTTTGAGGAGCAGTGGGCAGAAGACTCTGCTTGGAGCTGAGAGAATGATTCGGATGGAACCCTTGACCCCTCTTGTCTTGATGGAAGCAAGTAGCATAGTCATAGCCTTCAGCTGATGGAGCCACTTAGAAAACCTTATGGATTGCTAACTTAGCTACAACATCTCCAGGGAAGAAGACCCGGCAGGCAGTCCATGATGCGCCCATGTGCTTTATGTACAGTGACGTGCACTGGGCGTCCGTCCATCATCAGGGAGAGAGCCTGCAGCTGCACAGAGCCTGGAGATGACTGTTTCACATTGCTTATTTATTAGTTTGCACGCTCTGACTGTCCAGAACATAACACAGGGTTTGAAGTCATTTGAAATGTTAAAAAAGGAAAAAAAAATGACAGCTCTCATCTTCCTCTGTTACTAAGACAGGGATGTTGTACTGATCTCTTTGCTTTCATCAGACTAATTGCCCGTTCCTTCACAATGGCCTAGATAGAACGATATAGATACTGTCTGGGAGGGCAGTCTGGCTCTGACCGGCAATGAGGGGTAGACACACGCAGTGACTGCCCTTCTTGGAAACCTGGAAAGGGGTGTGCAGATGGAGGTTTGCTAACCCATTCAGGGCTGGATTCAGACTGTCTGCTTGGGACATTTGAAGTAAGTACTAGGAAAATGTAAATATTCTCATACTGGTTGGAAGGTTATAGTTTAGGCAAATATTACCACTTTTAATTCAACCTAGAACACCAGAATGTCAGAACCAAAAGGGACCATAAGAACCATCTAATCAAAGGCCTTCGTTTTTCAGATAAGGAAGCTCAGATGCCAGAAGGGATTTGCCCAAGGCCAGGGCATGAAACTCACAGAAGATGGGAAAATAATCATCTGTCCCTTTAACTTACAGAAGCTAAATAGAAACTCATCTTAAGATAATAGGAAATATATCATTTGGCTGCTGGGAAAAAGAGACTTTTCAAACTTTAAATGGAAGTTATTTAAAAATATTTTGTTGTTGTTTAGGAGGAAAAGATTTTGTCCCCCCTGAATCTAGACGTTTAATGAGTATTGTCCTCCTAGTGATAGGAAATTTGCTTAAGATAGGGAATATTAAAAAAAAAAAAAAAAAAGAAGGAACAAAGGTAAGCAATTGATGAGACTCCTTAATTATTCTTTCCAATGCCCAAGCCTTTTCCAGAGCTCCCTTTTAAGAGGAGCTATTTCACACTAAGGTAAAGGACATATTTTTGTGAGCAATCCTGAAGCTCCTGGTATTTGATGAAAACACTTTGTGGTCCTGTGACTTTTGGGTTTAAAGAATTGACAGTTCAATGAGAAAATGTCCAGGACCTCAACTGAGGTGGGAGCCCCTGACTTCCAGGTGCCCATCCCTTGCTAGGGTGAAATCTCAGGGTTCTACTGCAGAGAATGAGACATTACAAACACACACACACAGGCAACCCAGTCGGGCTTCAGTGTGCTCAGACCCTCACTGCCTTTCTCATCGAGAGAGAAAAGTAATAGAGAAAATCACACAGAATTAGAATCAAACAGAATTAGATGCCATCACCTGAATGACTGCTTTTGACCACTTTTCCACTGTGCCACTGAAAGTAGACTGCCAGCTAAATGGGCATTGATCGTCCCAGTAATAACAGGAATAAGCCCTTTGATTGGTACAGAAGTTTACTGTTATAAAAGGCATTCACATGTGTTTTCTCATTTATTCCTAATGGCAACTCTCAAGAGGAATAATTGTCTCCACTCTGCAGACGAGGAGACTGAACCACACATGTTAGCAGATGTAGTTCTGGGGATTATGACTCCTAGTTTAGGGCTCCTACCACTGTATGACGTTTCCCTTCTATTTCTTCTAAACATTCACTCTAATGCAGCAGCCTTACCTCTTGCTGGAAACAATGTACTTAGAACTGAATATACAGTGCTTATCACAGCTCTTGACACAGTCTAAGTGCTGGGCATGTGGTAGTTACTGTGGAGGAACAGGATGCGTGGCACAGCGATCAGGATCATAAATAGGGGTTGGTATCAGAAAGATACGGACCTGAGTCCTGAGTCTCTGAATATTTGATTTTGAGATCACCTTCAGCTCTTTGAAAATGCTATATGTGAGTGGGGCCAAATGACTAAACTTCCCTGAGGACATGAGCACCTACTTCAAGAGGTATACTGTGAAATGAGATACAAACGGACATGCAGAGCTTAGCAAGGTGCCTGTGCTTAGTATTCAGTGAGAGGAAGGGTGATGATCTCAAAAGGATTTGCTCATAGACCTTATTGTGAGGAAACAAAGCAATGCCTTCTTTGAAGCCAGATGTTAACATTTCATAGTCAAACAACCTTTTTTTTTTGTCTTATGTATCCAAAGGCCTTCTGTCTTTGCCCCTTTCTTGACTTTCTGCATCTGAGAGAGATTACAAGAGTGTTCCATGGACCCCGCAACTTCTGTGCTCTACAGAGCAGGTCTCAGTTGTGGCCAGGTACCTGTATATGATGCACGCCGTGTTCTGGCAGGTACTGCAATTGTTGAGATCTTGGCCAGTTCGATAAAAGTTGCGCCTGCAAAATAGAGCATTTGCTAGATAAATCTATGGGCAAACGCCCCCTGGGATGCACACATTCTACAGACTCATTTCCTGCAGCACAGCAGTGTCCTTCTCATGATTTCCAAAGTCTGAAGTTTCATGACCATTGCAAACAAAGGAACAAGAAATCCGTATTAGTAGGATCTCATGTTTCTAGAATGCTTTATAGATGTTTAAGCCCTTTGAGATCTGGATTTTCTTCATGCTGACAGTAATCCTCTGAGATGGGTCAGTTATTCTTACCCCAACATGATAAATGAGGAAACTGAAGGACTTTGCAAATGAGTAGAGGAAGATGATTAAAACTCCTGATCCCTTTAGGTCAGTACATTTCTCCCTATCTCGTCACAGTGCTTCTCTCTTGTAAGGCACTGCTGACTCTGATTCATAGCAGCAAATGCCAGGTAATTAATTCTTCCTTTTCCTACCCTTTTGTTGATTAGCTTTCACTATCCCTTTTTCTCAGTCTTTAGGGAGCTCTGTTTCAAGGAAGGAGCATCCCACACCTAAACAAATAACTGCCTTCCTGTCCTCAGACGGATGCTGAGTCACCCAGGAAAGCATTTTAGAGCTTCTTTCTCTTTGCGGAATTATGATCTCATTTCAGTCCCTACTTAGCTGGTCCATGATGGACTGGCTCAAGCCTTCAAAGTGGTTAGTGGAGGGCAAGGTCGACAGTAAGCCTAGTGGCTACCTCAGGTCCTCTGGACAAGCACACAAATAGCTAAAATACCACACAAATGTAGTAACTCCCTACAGGGACAGGGTTGGGGCAGACCCGAATACTGTCATTCTCCCCTATCATTTATTGCCTGTACCCACATCTTAATAAAAAGTAACTTTTGACCCTGCTGTTTCATTGTCCCCTTTCTCCAGTCTATTGTCATTTGGAAATAAAAACCAGTCATCGGGGAAATCCACCAAAGCCTACAACCCAATGAAACCCGGTCCGAACAAAGGGAGACCATTGCTTATAACTTGGGGAAATGATAGAATCTCAAACATTTTGGAGACATTTTACTAATGGAAGGCAAGGTTCTCTCTCTGCCCCTATCCTCCCAAATGATTCCACCCTGCCCCCGCTCCCCCAAATCCACCTTACCCTTCTGTGAGAGCTCGCGCTTTCTCCAAGTCTTGAATTACATTCAAAAGGACTTTGATTTTCTCTTGGTTTGAGTGCAGAGACTCCTCCACAGATTGCAGCCTGCCCTGGAGGTCACAGAGCTCTCCCTGCGCCAGGTGAATTGGGGTAATCCCCCCAGTCACTCTCTGCTGCTTGGTCTCCCTTTTCGGGAGAGAGGAGGGGAGGTAACCACTTCCTGGACAGTTCTGAAGCTCTGGGATGTCTGACTTGATGGGGTTCTTTGCCGTCTGCTCCTGGAACACAGGGCCAGATTCTGACTCACTGTTAGTTTGGAGTGGCTGCAGATCCTGGTAATTGTTACTGGATGAAGAACAGTCTGAAGCCCCCCCCAGTTGGGCTGGCTGGCTGTGGGAGCCAGGAGGAGGGGAGCTGTGAGTCCATGGATGTGAGGGAGCACACCTTTCCTTTGACCTAGATGACAGAGGGCCAAGGTCTTTGTCATCGGAGTTATCTTTGGGCAAAAGCAGTTCGGGTTGCAGTTTCCCTGTGCCAGGCGTGTGATTGGCCCTCCTGGGGGCATTTAAGCAGGGTGGGCTTCTTTCTGAATCTGGTGGCAGCTCTCTTCTTCCGTCACCTGGACGCCGGTCAACCAAAGGGGGTATGGAGTTGCTAATCTCAGCAGACCCGTCTGGGCTCAAAGTAGACTCCCTTCCTCCCCAGGCAGGACTGTGGTAAATGTCATCTGGGACCTGAATGGCAGCTGTTACTTTCTCCAAGCCTCTCCACGTCCCAGCTTCAAAGCATATGCTTACAGGCCCATTGCTTTGCACCTTGGACATTCTAGGGAGAAACGGGTGGGACACCTTGACCCTTCGAGGCCCATCCTCAAGATGCTGAGCCAGCCGTAAGTAGGCAAGGTCAGAGGACACAATGTCCTGCTCAGAGAGATTGCCGTTCACCTGGATGGCATCTTGGGATGCTGTCGGCATTTCCACCAGGGACTTGCTGGCTGTGAGTCTCTTCCTTTTAAAAACTGGGAAATGCTTCCTGAGACTGGGGGACGTTTGGATCGCGATGTTCCGAAAGCCCCCTGCCTTCTGGGACCTGGGAAAGGAGAGTGAGTAGGTGGGGAGGTGATGGTGCCTGGAGGCCTGAGTCTTGCCCATTACAGCCGGGTCCTCGGATGTCTGGACATCCACCTCAGCTAGGCCAGGTGGAGTCTTACTGGTGCCATCTTCCTTGAATCGGACCTGCTGAGATTTGCTCCTGCGGTGGTGAGGTTGCTTCACCAGCTCCACAGACTCTAGACTGTTACGTTTCAGAAGCACAGGCCTCACTTTGATACTTTGCTGGGCCATCGAGTCTCAGTTGAAAGGATTAGGACCATACACTTCTCCTGGGCACATTTCCTTAGGTCTTTGGAGCAGCATCTAATGACAGCATCTCAGACACAGAGATCTGCCTCTGTGTATGGGCAGCTCTGTTGGCCATTCCCAGCCAGTAGGTTTTACTTAAGGGGAGAGGGCTCTCCGTAAGGCTTCCCCTGCAGTTAAAATCTTATTCCATTGCAGTGGTAGTTACCACTTAGATAAACAAGGAGTTAGGCTAATTATTAATCCTCTGATCTACCATGAGAGCTGGTGGGCTGTTTATCAAGGTAGGTTGGCAGGCAGTTCTGATCCTGTAAGAAGCTTGCGATCTTGAACAAAAAGACAACAAAAGTACCATTTAGAGGAGAGCGCCAGACTCCCAATGTGTGAATTCCAAAAGAAACCTGCTACGTCTGGAACATACGGCTTCCTTTCTGGGAACATCGATTCCCAGTCTAAAACTACAGGAACCTTAAACACATCTTCTTTCCATCACATGTAAACAGGTGGAGAAATAAGTGACCCGGGGCTTGGCTTCTTTCCTGGTACATGATGCTCCTAATGGAACATCCCTATTTATGTCAATCAAAGCTTCCTCCTTTGAGTCCATTGTTTTCTTTCATGCTGTCTCCTTTCTCTTCTGTGAGCAAATTTAACTTCCTAAATAGCCTCACAGAACCCCATGGGGTGTGACACGGACATCCAGGGGCATTCAGAGGGCAGAGTCCCTGTTGTGCCGTCGTGGCTGAAGTTCACATGTGGGGAAAGTGAGCCACATTAGCAGCCTCTGGGTATTTGAGCCCGAAACTTTGTTCACTTGGGCTTGGGGTCAGGGGCCTGGTAGTCTTTATCAGCACACAAAGGGAGTCTGAAAAGAAAAAGACAAAAAGATGCAACTGAGAACACAGTTCCTGTGGACCTGGGGCTTCTCTCCAGACTCCAGTCTCCCAGCTGAGGGCTTCTGAGTGGGTGGACTAGAGGTAAGTCAACTTGCTGCCTCTGTGTGTGATCCCCCAGTGAGCCAGGCACCTGTGGCTGCCGGGCCTTGAAGCAGAATGCCTGTCTGCCTGGATCATCTCCTCCTTTCATTCCCAGGCATCACCCAGCCAACTCCTGTTCATCCATGAAACTCTAGCTTAAATGTCTTTCCAATGACTCCTCCCTCACACACACCTCTCTGGTGCTAGATCATATCAGGACCTCCCTTAGATTCAATATATTTGTATCACATTCTTTAAAACACAAGTTTTATTATCCCTAAATAATCATTTGTCTATGTATTTATTTAATGTGCATCTCCCCCACTACCCTGTAAGCTCCAGGGTGTCAGGGGCTAAAGCCTTTTTTTTTTTTTTTTTACTGCTAGGTGTTTCTAGCCCTCCTTCAGGCTTACTGTGAGTGTGTAATGAGCATTTACTCAAAGAGAGGATGGCTGAATACAGCCAAGAAGAGCCTGGGAATGGGGATGGGGATCCTAAGGTATTTTAGGGCAATCAGATGGTGAATTCTCTCTGCTAGGACTGAAACACTTGCTAGACAACAAGATTTTCACCTGGTTTTTTTTTTTTTTTCATTTTTAATTGCTTTCTAGGAGATGAATGTGCATAAAATTCTCCATGGAAAGTGTACCTTGTAATAGTAACAGTTACTACTTACTGAACACTTATTTTTATTGTGCTGTGGGCTTTACTTGCATTTCATTACAACCCTTGTTTATCAAGTACTCACTAATGCACCAGGTACTGTTCTAAGCACTTTCAAAGCCATAACTCATTCATTCTCTACCCTATAAAAGTGGAGACTCTTATAATCCCCATTTTACAGTTTGAATATGCTAGGGCCCAAGGACATACAGCTTGTGACAGAGCCAAGGTCTGAACTTAAATAGTCCGGCACCAGAGTCTGTGCTCTTAAACTCTGACTCTACTGCTTTCCCAATACTGCATTATCTCATTAATCCTTAGAACAAACTATGAGGTTTTATGATCCCCAGTGGACTGATGAGGAAACAGAGGCTCAGAGATATTAAGTACCCAGTGGAGGAACTGAGAGATGAACCCAGGAGTCTGTGATTCCAAAGTCCGGGTTCTTACCCATAAGGTGATGATTTTGTCCTCTTGGGATCTTCCTGGTACTCAGGGCAGTGATTTGAATGTAGAGTTTGAAGACCTGTGCAGGTCTTCGAGATGCAGGCGACTGTGCCCTGGCCTGTCCGGGGCAAGTGAATCTGTTTGTTTCAAGTATGAGGTGAAATGAGGCAAGTGTGAAGCCTTTGTGTGTTGAACAAATGATTTTAAAAGACAATGAGAGGATAAAATAGTCCATCAGTATTTGGGTGTCTTTGAGGGAATATTCTGTCTGTGGCACTCAGCCTTATCATAAAGATCAAAACTTCTGGCTTCTCTAAGCGTGGGTGCTTTGCTCCCAAGATGTTCTCCGCTTGCTGGTGTGGGCACCCATTTTGTGGGTATAGCTTAAGCCTTGATTCTCAGTGTTCTGCTCTTCCCAGGAATTACTAGATGATGCTTATAGCAATTTTGACTTTCCCAGATCCCAGCTACCTTGAGAGGGCCAGCTAACCTCGTGAGGCTGGTGTAGGTGGTGGCAGGTCCTGAAAGAGGAAAGGGTTCATCTAATGCTAATAAGTTGTCAACCTGTCATCAGGTTCTAGAATTCCTCCTCACATTCTGGGCTCAAATCCTTGTCCCTTCCTGGCTGAAGGATTTGGGACAGTATTTATTCTCTCCTAACCTCATGGTTTTCATCTGTAAAATGGAGATGACATAGAGCATAGACACTGCGTTTATGTGGGTCTGATGGGAGAAATAATGAGACAGTGCATGCAAAGTCCTCATCACAGAGCTCAGGTCACAGATCACTTAGGCTACAATTGTCTGAAGCTGGTTTTCGTAAGAGCTAGTATCTACTGAACTTTGGCTCTGTGCCAGGCATTGTCATAGGTGTCCATTTATTTTTGTCCTTAATAATTTCCATGACAGTCTTAGAGGCAGGCACTGTCAGTCACGCCTTTTGTAAACGAGAAAACTGAGGCACAGAAGCTTAAGTAATTTGTCCCAAGTCGCTCACCCTGTGAACCCAAGGACTGCCCCTGGAGCATCCACCCCTATCCACTGGGGTTTCCCGCCTCCTCCGGAGCCAGGGAAGGGCTAATCTTGCTAGGCTGTCAGGCAGGTCCCGAAGTCCTTTCACATTTTCCTTCTGAAAGTCAGCCACTGTTCTGGTTTTCACCCTGCTTTTCCTCTAGGAAATGTATACATCCCTGACATGTTTTATTTTAATCTTTAAAGACAGTTTTCTATTTTTAAAGCATTACAGGTTCATTGCAAAAAATCAAATAGTGTAGATAAAAAAGGAAGGAAAAAATCACCTGATATCTCACTATCAGAAAGAGCCACTCTGGCCCGATGGTTTCGAGAAGGGCATTCTCGGCACTTGGCTGTGTGGTGATTGCACTCACAGCAGGCACAGTGTATACATGCAGATTTAGAGGAGGCCTTTTTTCTTTTCCCATTGAACAACATGGAGAAGTTTCCACATTATGGCACATAGATTTGTACCCTTATTTTAAGTAGGCTAATAGCACTCTGTTGTCTGTTGCATGATCTATTCAAATAATATTCTTTTGTGGATAGTTAGGTTGTTTCTAAATATTTGATATTATTAATAATCCTATAAATAACATTTTTATCTCTGTGAACTTTGGAGCACTTGTCTAATTATTTTCTTTGGATAAATTTGTGAAAGAAGAATTCATGGATTAAAGACATTTTACATTTCATTGATATTACCTCTTTTCCTTCCAGAAAGTTCTACCAATGGGCAGCCCTACTATTGGCTGTGTGAGAAAGCCTTTTCACCAGAGCCTCTTTGTCACTTTGTTTGGTCAGTTTCTGATGTTGTTTTTCATCATTACTAATAGAATGGGAGAGTATCTCATTCTCACTGTGGGACTTACTCAAGACTGGGCATTTTCCATGTGCTTCTTTGTTTTATACTACATTTCGTATAGGTGAAGAATGAAAAACTGAAAGTGACAATGTGAACAATTAAGCTTTCACAGGAGTGAAAACTCCTGTGTCCTAGACATGACCTAGGAAGCTTAGCAAATATAAACATTTCCACCTTTAAAAAACTGCATATTTACATTGGAGAAGGAAATGGCAACCACTCCAATATTCTTGCCTGGGAAATCCCATGGACAGAGAGGCCTGGCAGGATACAGTCCATGGGGTTGCACAGAGTTGGACACGACGAAGCAACTTAGCATCTTTTGCCCCCCATACACACCATGACCTCTGCACAGATGTGTCCCAAGGAGGATAGCTGGCTAAACAGAAAGGCCTTCTGTAGCCCTCAGGTCTCAGGCTCCTAGCTGGCCCTTAATTGATAGGGGGTTGCCTGGGCCTTGGCAGTTAGGGCTTACTGGATATCCTGGCCACGGTCCAGAATTGTTCCCTAAGGTGGCTGGAGGTCTGTGCAGATCTTTGCAATGTTTCATTCTCTCTTCTCTTGATTATTGACTTACTGACACAAACCATATCAGATGTTCCGCATGAAATTGCTGTCAACTTAATAAGTACAGAGACACTTAGTCCTATCTCCGCAGATCTTCAATTTTAGACTTTTTCTGAAATAGTCTCCCGGGTCTCTTCTCTAGCATGTATTTAGGCTATACAGTGAAGGCTTAGGTGCATAAGTTTCACTCTGATTGATTTTGACTAGAATTTTCCACTTTCTGACTGTTGATCTGAAATAAGTGATTGTCCTTCATGACACCACATAGGTGGTTGTGAGGATTACCAGAGATAAACCACATAAAATGACCAGCGGTTAGCTTCTAACACAGAGACCGACTGGAGACCCTGATCTCATATAAATAATGTGGGCCCATCCACTTCCCTGTGGGAGAGTAAACTTCAGGTGAATTTATAAGAGAGCATGCTCAAGGATGGCACCCCCAGGAATTCTGTCCGTCTCTCTGGGCCATGTCTGCACTTCACGTCTCCATGTGCGGCTACTACCTGATGACATTCAGTCTCCTCAGTTAGACTACAAAGGAAAGTGGGCACAGTCCACTCGAGCTCCTGCCTCCAGCCTGACACAGAACAAGTGCTGAGTAAACTCTTGTCAAAGGAATGAATGTAATCCTATACTGCTCTCATTTGCCTTAGCTTCTGTGGCAGATGATAGTTTTGTAGTTAGTACAGGTGGTGCTAGAGGTAAAGAACCCACCTGCCAATGCAGAAGACGTAAGAACCACGGGTTTGATCCCTGAGTCAGGAAGATCTTCTGGAGGAGAATACGGCAACCCACTCCAATATTCTTGCTTGGAGAATCCCATGGACAGAGGAGCCTGGAGAGCTACAGTCCATAGGGTTGCACAGAGTCAGATATGACTGAAGTGACTTAGCATGCACACGTGGAATAAATATTTGTGTAACTAAGAGCAAATAAATTAACTTGCTTCCCTTTTCAATGATATATTATCAATGATATATTTTCAATAGTTTTCTGTGATGAATAAACTATGTCCCTTAGTAGATTATGCTTGCTCTGTTTGTGACTCACATTCAATTCGGTTAAACTTTATTGAGAATCTGTTATGATCTTGACACTGTGATAAACACTGTGGAGATTATAAAGAAGAATAAGATCTAAGCTCTATCATAGCACTAAGAAGGCACCTGGTAATGACGTGTTATATGGAAGTAATCCCTGGGAAGTGGTACAGACTTGGGGTTGACTTGGAGGAGGACACTTGATTCATTTTGTGTACTCAAATCCTGCCATATCAAGGTGCTCCAAAGGTGCTTTATGTTTCAGATGGGGTTTGGACTTTGTCCTTTG